GGAAACAAAAGAGCCGCGGAGCTCGGGCCTCGGAGCCTGAGCCGCCTGCGCAGCCTCACTGCGCTCCCGGGCCGGCGAGGCGGGACCTGAGTGGAGGCCGGGCGAGGCAGCGGGGCGGTGCCTGGCGGTGGGGCGGGGCCTGGAGGCGGGCGGGGCTTGGGTGGAGTGGGACCCAAAGACGGGGCGGGGCCTGGACACAGTCGGAGCCCGGAGGTGTGGCGGGGTCAGGAAGAGGAGCGGGACCTGGATGGAGTCGGGGCCCGGAGGCAGGGCGGGGCCTGGCGGCGGGGCGGGGCCTGGGGGGAAGGCGGAGGCCGACGGCGAGACGAGAATGGTCGGTGGGGGCGGAGCCTTAGGGGCGGGACTTGAGTTGGGAGGGGCCAGGGACAGGCCCGACCCGGGTGGGTGCGGGTGGGGAGAACACTTAGCCCCAGATGACAGCATTCCCCTTCCGGCTTTCTCCAGCTGCAGGCTTGTCCCGCGTTCCGTTCTGCGTCTGCAGGCCAGAATGGTTTGCTCTGTGCCAACTCCCACAAAGCAGCTGGCCGGTGGTCTATGTACCCAAGGGCCAGGGATTGCAAAGAATTCGCACTTAACAGAACGGCTGCGTTACAAGCGACATATCTCAACTTGTGCACCTAATGCCAAAATTCTCTGCTGAAAGGGTTGTACCAAAACCTAGGAACTAATCCCTTAAATCTAGGAGACACGAGAAGTTGGGTATACTGGTGCCTGTGTCCCACGCACTGACAACACCCTGCTGTTAGCGACAGATTTAAGTATGTATGTAGTATTTACATATATATGTGCTGAAGCCCAAAGGTCAAGTGAAAGAAGAACGCAGAACAATGTTTGTAATTTAGAGGAGGTGTGTTTGACAGCCATGGGTGCGTGTGATAATCTGTAAGAGACAGCACACCGGCCGCTTGGCATCTGTATATCACAGGCAGCCGGGCAGTGTTCTTCCCATATATTAACTCATTTTTTCCTTACAGTGATTTCATAAGGTATGTGCTATTACATCTCCACTTTACAGATGAGAAAATAAAGGCCCAGAGAGGTTAAGCAATGTGCCCAAAGTCACACAGCTAGGAAGAGGAAGAGCCAGCATTTACCTCAGACTTGGGAGCTCTGGTAGCATAGTGGCTAAGGCACTTGACTGCTAACCAGAAGGCTGGCGGTTCAAACCCACCAGCCACTCCTCGGAAGGAAGGTTGGGCAATCCTACTTCCGTAGTGATACTGCCTCGGAAACCCAAGGAGGGGTCGCTATGAGTCAGGGCTGACTCGACGGCACATAACAACAACAACAACAATAACAGTGGTTACCTTAGGAGAGGGAGCCACGCATGGCGACTCAGGCCTTAACCCTCATGGTGCTGGCGTGAATTGCACAAGCACCGCTCTTTCAGACACATGAGTCTACACAGTCCACACCACTCCCAGCCTTCAGTCAGAGCCCTGGAGTGTGTGGCACCAGCCTGCCGGGAACACCAGTTCTGATGGGCAGGCTCTCTGGCCGCAGCCCCTCCCACTGCAGTCACAGGAGCGGTGGCTCTGGGTAGAATCGCACCCAGGCCACCTGGAAGCCCTTCACCTGCACCCAGAGTCCACCCTGCAGGCCCCAGCCCATGCAGGCTCCCTCCCCTGGACTGGGCACCGTGGGCAGTTCCCCTGGAGACACCAGAGGATTCGGCCACCACACTGGTGTTCCATGTGAAGGGAGTGCCTGTCCTCTGGGGCCAGCCATAGCATTCATTCCCAAGTTCATTCTCTCCCTCACTCATTCAGTAAGTATTTATGGAGCCCCTACTGCACGCAGAAGGAGCTCTGGTAGCACGGTAGTTAAAAGCTTGGGCAGCTAACCAAAAGGTCAGTGGTTCGAACCTATTAGCCTCTTCATGGGAGAAAGATGAGGCAATCTGCTTCCATAAAGATTTACAACCTTGGACATCCTATGGGGCAATTGTACGCTGTCCTGTAAGGTCACAATGAGTTGGAATCAACTCGATGGCAGTGGGTTTACTGCACACAGGCACCGTAAGCTAAGTACTGGAATGGCCAGGGTGTGGGAGAAGAGAGTCCTGCCTTCAAGAAAGGAGGCCTGGTGGCACAGTGGTTAAGTGCTTGGCTGCTAACCAAAGGGTCGGTGGTTCTAACATACCAGACACTCCACAAGAAAAAGAGGAAACGGTTAGCTTCCACAAAGATTACAACCTTGGAGACCCTCTGGGACAGTTCCACTCTGTCCTCTAGGGGCACTGTGGGTCAGAATCGACTCCATGGCAGTGGATGGCTTCAAGAGTTCAGTGGGTGGGTGGGGGCATGAGGTGGGCAATCATTCCACTAATGGCATTTAAACACCAACTGAGGAGGGAGCTGTGAAGGACAGGTGGGTGAGAAGTGAAGAGATCAGAGCAGGGAGGGTGGAGGTGGCTGAAGGAGCTTCCAGGAGCCCCAGCCCAGTGCATCTGGGCCTGGAGGCCAAGCGAAGGGGGCTCTCCACCCTGAACTCCAGGAGAGGATAAGAAAGAGATGAGGAGGGGCCTGGAGGGGGTGAGACAGGATTTGCATTTTGAAAAGGTCACTGAAGGAGGAAGAAATCAGAGGCCAGAGGATTGTTCACCCTGATACTCGGGCCCCAGGGGGGTTAATTATTTTCGTGCCCTCCCTCATTCCAGACATAATACTGGCGAGAGGCCAGGCCCCATTCTAAGCTTATACCCACGTCCACCCTAGGAGGGCGGGTCCTGTCATCAAATAAGGAGGAAACTGGGAACCAGAGAAGTGACGTGACTGCCCAAGGTCACACAGCTAAAAGCAGGCAGTCTGGCCCAGCATCTGCACTGGGAGGACCACACTCCCCCGGGGCCCTGGGCCCCCAACCCACCAAGCACCAGGCAGTCTTGCTTGTGGTCTGTGCATCTCCGGGGCTCAGCTCAACGCTCAGCACCCAAGTGGCGCAGCCTTGAGAGAGAGCTGGGGCAAGGCCACCAAGCACAACACCTCTTACAGAGACCCCCCAACAAGGTCCCAGAGCCAAAGGAATGGCAAGAGGTTTCATTTCCATGGGACTGTTGTTGTTATGTGCCTTTGAGTCAGCCCCGACTCATAGCGACCCCTCCTTGGGTTTCTGAGGCAGTATCACTATGGAAGTAGATTGCCCAACCTTCTTTCCAAGGAGTGGCTGGTGGGTTTGAACCGCCAGCCTTCTGGTTAGCAGTCAAGTGCCTTAGGCACTATGCTACCAGAGCTCCTAAGGCACTGGTAGTGGCTAAGTAGTCCTGGTGGTTCAGTGCTTAAAGCGCTCACCTGACAACCTAGTCTAATGTTTGTCGGTTCAAACCCACCAGCTGCTCCATGGGAGAATGAAGCAGTCTGTTCCATAAAGATATACAGCCTTGGAAACCCTACGGGGCAATTCTCTGTCCTAAAGGGTCATTACAAGTGAGAACTGAGTTGACCTAAGTCAGTTTCGTTTGGGTAAGTAGTGGCTACCCAAAGCTTTAAGTTGACCACTTGGAGGGTTCTGTGATCAATTAGTAATGTCAGCCGTGGGTGCTGACAGGGTGACAGTGGTGCCCCTATCTTGCAGCAAAAAGAGGACCATGTTCTTGTACCACCCTGATTTCGAGCGTGTCCAAGTACAATTTTCAAAAAGTCGCAACTTAACTGTCATACGAAGCCTATTTTAGTCGACAAAGAGTTATTGGAGCCCAGCCACACCCTGTCCCTTCTTGTCTACGGCTGCTTTTGTACTTTGCTGGGCCAGGTTAAGCAGTTGCTATAGGGACCAAATGGCTTGCAAAGATGAAGATATTTACTACCTGGTCCTTTACAGTAGAGCTCTGGCGCTGCACTGCCCAGGGCATCTGACTGCCAACCAGAAGGTTGGTGGTTCAAACCCACCAGTCACTCTGTGGAACGGAGGTCCATGCTGTGAGTTAGAATCAACTCGAAGGCAGTGGGTTGGGTTGGGTTTTTGGTCCTTTACAGGAAAAGTTTCAGACCCCTGCACTAGTCACATTATCCTTGGTGGGCCGGTTAAGCCGTGCTCCAGTGTGACAAAGAATGGCAGTCAACCCTCGTGGTTTACAGGCACTGGGCAATTTTCCAAAACTAGTCATGGACACAAGCCACAGAACCAGGTTGCTCCCAGAATTAGCCCAAGCAACCTTCATACAGGGGGGCGTCACCTCTCCGGGCCCAGGACCTAGAAGGGCCCCTCCCCGATGGCTGCCAGGGCCTGAGTTCTCCTTGGGCGTCTCCTCTGAGGAGCCTGAGCAAGTTCCCTGGGTCTTTTGTGTCTGACTCATAAGAGTAACCTCAGCCTGTTGCCACTGAGTCAACTGCAGCTCGAGGGGACCCTACAGGACAGAGGGGAGCTGGGCATCGGGGTTTCTCCCACGGAGTAGCTGGTAGGTTCAACCCTCCAACGTTTCAGTCTGCGGCAAAGCGCTTACCCACTGCGGCACCAGGAGGCAGAGAGCGCAGCAGGCCTTCGGAGAGGGTTGGGTGAGGGAGTGGGGAGATCTTCGGGAGCGTCCTGAGCACCAGCACTTCTCCTTCCCTGGTCCTTGTTTAATCCAGACCCCCAGAGCTGCTGACTCCAGGCGGG